TCAAGGCGGACAGCGGAAGCGACGGGACCACGAGATCGCGACGTTCCTGGAGCTTATGGATATGATCGACCACGACAGGAGACTACCCGACGATATTGGTGGCGACTGGTGGTTGGCATTGGCGTGCGATAGTTTTACTTGGAATCGCTTGGAGGACGACTTTGTACAATGCGCTGTAGGCTAAAGCATTGACGACATAAGCTGAGGGTCAGGCCGTGCAGATGACCCACAACGGTGTGAACGCGAAGGCCGGCCCAAAGCTCCTCTGACGCCCAGCTTCCGATTCCACACTCCTGCCTCCATCCGTTTTCGTCATTCCACTTCCGCTTCCACCTATCGACCTCAAGCTTGGATTTGCTCACCATTCCGACCTCTAGCATCCAGCATTCGACTTTTCAGTCCTATTTCCATCTATCGCCACCCAGACCCCACTAGCTCAGCATTCCGACCTCCAGCGCCCCGCATCCGACTTTCCACCCCCGCCACCTATCGACCTCCAGCCACCTCCAGCATCACAGTCCGACTTCCAACATCATGCATCCGTCTTTCCACTTCCACCCCCACCTCCACCTATTGACCTCCAGCCTCCACCAGCTCAGCACTCCGACCTCTAGAATGCAGCATCCGACCCTCCGATCCTACCTCCAACGATCGACTTCCAGACTCCAACAGCTCAGCATTCTGACCTCCGCCACCAAGCATCCGGGATCAGCATCCGACCTTGCGCCCCCGCTTCCACCCACTACTGACTCTCTGCCTCTACCAGCTCAGCATCCTGATCTCCGAAAGAGCGTGTTCTACCGCTGCTGGCGGAAAACCGGGGGGGGCCACTACCGGTTCGAACCCCCCCCCCCCCCCCCCCTCCGAAAAACCGGGGGGGGGGTCACTACCGATTCGAACCCTCCCCCCCCCCCCCGTTCATCATGAAAAGGGGGGGGGGTCACTACCGGTTCGAACCCCCCCCCCCCCCCCTCGAAAACCGAGTGGGGGTGCGGACAGTGGTGGGGACGGTGTTGGTGGGGACAGTGGTGAGGGGACAGCGGGACAGTGGTGGGGACAGTGGGGGGACAGTGGGACAGTGGTGGGGACGGTAGTGGTGGGGACAGTGGTGAGGGGATAGCGGGACAGTGGTGGGGACAGTGGGACAGTGGGACAGCGGTGGGGACGGTAGTGGTGGGGACAGTGGTGGGGACAATGGTGGGAACAGGGGGGGACAGTGGACAGTGGTGGTGACGGTGGTGGTGGGGACAGTGGTGTGGGGACAATGGGAATGAGGTGGAAACAGTGGGACAGTGGAGGGTACAATGGTGGTGGGGACAGTGGTGAAGGCGGTGGCGAGGACGGCGGTGGGACAATGGGACAGAGGTACAGTGGGGACAGTGGTGGGGACAGTGGGGACAGTGGTGGGAACAGTGGGACAGCTCAGTGGGACAGCGGAGGAGTCAGTGGGACAGTGGGGACAGTGGGGATAGTCGGGCAGTGGTTGGGGCCGTGGAGACAGTGGGGAGAGTGGAACCGTGGTGGGAACAGTTCTGGGGACAGCGGGGACAGTGCGACAGTGGTGGGGCCACTGGTGGGGACAGTAGGGGCGGTGGTGGAACCAGTGGGGACAGCGGTGGTGAGGACAGTGGTGCTGGGAACACCAGTGGGGGATGTGATGCGGACGGTGGTGGGGACCGGGAGTCGTTTGCTGGCGGTGAGTAGGGTAGGGGGGGGGGGGGGGGGGGGGGGGGGGGGTTCGAACCGTAGTGACCCCCCCGGTTTCCGGATCCGAGGGAAGGGGGGGGGGGGGGGGGGGGAGGGTTTCGAACCGGTAGTGACCCCTCCGGTTTTCGAGGGGGAGGGGGGGGGGGGAGGGGTTAGGGGAGGGGGGGGGGTTTTGCCGGGGAGAGGGGGGGGGGGGGGGGGGAAGGTTCCGGCAGGGGGGGGGTGGGGGGGGATTTTCGGGGGGGGGGGGGGGAGACCCCCGGGTTCCGGAGGAAAAAGTTGGCAATTTTCCACAGTAAAGCGGCGGTGGATCACGCTCTCTCTGATCTCCGGCATGCGACATCCGATTTCTACTTCCACCTCCACCTATCTACCTCCAGCATCCAGCCTCCGACTTTTCACTCTCGCCTCCATCTATCGACCTCCAGCTTCCACCAGCTCAGCACCCCACCCCCCCAGCATCCGGCATCCGACTGACTCCCGAGTCCTACCTCCATCTATGGACCTCCACCATTTGCCAGCTCAGCTTCCCGACGCTCGACGTCCAGCATCCGACTATCCACTTCCACCTCCACCTCCACCTATCGACCTCCAGCCTCCACCAGCTCAGCACCCCGACCTATAGCATCCAGCTTCAGACTCTCCCGTCCTGCCTCCACCCATCGACCTTCGACCTCCGCCAGCTCAGCACTCCGACCTCCGGCATATAGCACCCAACCCTGCGCGACTCTCAACCTCTACCAGCTCAGCATCCCGACCTTCAGTATGCGGCATCCGACTTTCCACCTCCACCTCTACCTATCGACCTACAGCCTTCGCCAGCTCACCATTCCCACTTCCAGCATCCAGCATCCGACTTTTCACTCTCACCTCCACCTATCGACCTCCAGCTTCCACCAGCTCAGTACCCTAACCCCCAGCATCTGGCATCCGACTTACCACTTCTTCCATCTATTGACCTCCATCCTGAATCAGCGCAGCATCCCGACACCCAGCATCCAGCATCCTACTATCCACTTCCACCCCGACCTGTCGACCGCCAACGACGACACCCAACCTCCACCAATCTGGCACTCCGACTCCAGCATCCGGCTTCCGACCCCCCACTTTCACCTGCACCTATTGGCCTCCAGCATTCAGGACAACTTGCACTGAGGACTGGCCCCCCGCGCAGGCCCCAAAGGGCCCCACCCCCAGCGGATCAGCGCGCTCGCTCGCCCTCGCCCTCGCCCTCGCCTTCGCCCTCCTCCATGTCTCCCCTCATACCTGTGCCCTCCTGCTCCCTCCGCCTCCTCCTCCTTCTCCTCCTCCCCCTCCTGCGGCCGCGTGTCTGCCGCGCGCCGGAAGCGCCATGGTCGGGGGCCGGCGCAACCCCCCAACCCCAGGGCAAGCGCGCCGCTCAGCGGCGAGCAAGCCCCAGAGCCGAGGGGGCGCGCCGACCGGGGCCTTTACATCGCATGCCCGGGAGCGCGGCGGCGACGCGCAGGAGGCCGCGTGGCCAGCGGCCCGCGGTCCCATCGCCAGGCGCCACACCTCCTTCGGGAAGTGCTGCGCCGGCGCGGTCCCGCCGCCAGGCGCCGCCAGGCCCGGCAGCGCCGCAGCCGCCCTGGCCGCCTTCGCGCCGCCCCCGCGCGCCAGCCTATACCCCGCCACCGGCTGCGCCGGGCGCCCGCCGCGCCGCCGACAGCGGCCGCCGCGCCTGCCCCGCGCCCGCTTGCCACCGCCCGCGGCCTGGGCGGGTCGGGCCGCCGCCCGGCCCGCTGCCGCCGCGCGGCCGTCGCGCCGCGGCGCCGGCGCCGCCGCCCCAGCGCCCCTCAGCCAGCGCCGCGCCGCGCGCCTTCAGCCAGTCTGGTGCCCCCAGCGCCCAGCCCAGGGGGCCGGCCACGGGCGGGCAGTGCGTCGGTCAGCCGCTCAGCGTATCAGGGGGCGCGGCCGGGCGCGCCGCCCGGGCGGCCGCGCCGAGGTGTTGTACGCCTCGGCGTTGGCCCGCTGCAGCGCGGCGGCCAGGCTCTGGCGCGCCGCCGAGAGCTCGGCCTCGTCGCCAGCCGCCCAGGTGCGCAGGAGGTCCTGCGTCTCGCGCCCTGGCCTGCCCAGCGTCTTCAGCGCGAAAGCGCGCAGCGCCGCGCCGGGGTAGCGGCGGTGCTTGCGCTCCTCCGCTGCGGCTGCCGCGGCCCCGTCGCGCCAAGCCCGGCCCCGCCCCGCCGGCGTCGCGGCCCCGGCCGCCGCGTCCGTCACCACGACGTCCACGTGCATGGTGCTCGCCACCGGGTCCACGTGGGTCACGTCCAGCCGCGCCGCCTCCAGGCGGCCATCCTGGAGGACCCTGTCCCAAGTAGGGACGAGCTGCTCGGTGCCCACGCCCCTCGCTCCACGCCTCTTGAGCCAGCCTGCTAGCCAATCGCGGATGGCTTTGTGGCGCGCGATCGTGCCCGCGCCGGCGTGGCAGCCCAGGGGGTGAGTCGGGTCCCGAGCGAGGTCCGCTCCACAGAGTTGCCCATCGGCGCGACGGCGCTGGCACGTGGCGCAGGCGTCAGCGGACCTCGGGAGGCGGAGGCGCAGCGCCAGCGCCGGCAGGTAGTGTTCGTCCGCCAGGCGGTGGTCGTCCTGTGTCGGCGGCAGGAGCCAGCTGCCAGCCCCCTTCCCGCTCGCCGAGCGCAGCTGGGCAGCTTAGCTTGCTCTGGTGGCAGCGCCGCCAGGAGCCGCTTCCGGCCCTCGTCCCGTTCGTGGCGCGGGTGCTCCTTCTGCGCCTTCAGCTTGGGCTCCGCCGCGGCCCTAAGCCACTCGTCAGCGCCGAGCCGGAGCGCGTTGCCCGCCTGCTCGGCCGCGGCCCAGAGGTCGGGGCAGCTCGAAGCGAAGGCGCCCAAGCTGGCCTCGCCCAGTTCCCGCCTCGTCCACATTGTTCTGGGAGGAAGAGGATCCAGGTTGATCGGCGATTTTGGCAATTGTTTTGCTTCGGGAGGCCTCCATGGTTTTCTGGAGGATGCTCTTGAGGCCTCTGGGGCTTCCCAGACACTTCGGGAGACGTCCAGGGGAGCGATGGGGGGGAGGGAGGGAGGGAGGGAGAAGGGAAAACCCAGGACCCTTCCGAGAACCTCGCCTCCGACTTCTTACCCTCGTCCATCCTCCTCCTCCTCCTCCTCCTCCGCCTTTTCCTCCTCCTCCTCCTCCTTTTCCTCCTCCTCCTCCTCCTCCTCCTCCTCCTCTCTCCTCCTCATCCTCCTCCTCCTCCTCCTCCTCCTTCTCCTCCTCCTCCTCCTCCTCCTCTCCTCCTCCTCTGCGCTTGGAGTGCCGAGGAAGAGCTTGACGAGCTCAAGCGGGACAACAAGAAATTCAAGGATCAGGCTCGCCGCGCTCGAGAGGGGCAGGAACAGCAGCAGCAGGCTGGAGGACATGGGGGGGACGACGGCGGGGGTGAGGAGGGCAAAGTCCTCGAGTCAGGCGATCGCAAACATGGATCTAGGGGGCGTGGATTAGCGACGGGCTCCGCTTCTATGGGGAATCACGGATTTCCACCGCCGAACGAGGCGGCACCGGCCGCATTTTGGGGATGGCACCTCCCCCGATCCATGGATTTGGCGACCGCGCGCCAAACCCATGGATCGCTAATCCATATTTGCGCGCCCCCGATCGAAGACGACGGGAAGAGCACCAGGATGAGCTGGGGGTGATAACAGTGTTCAGAGGAGGAAAGGTACTCACACCGCTACCATTCCGTCTCTTTCCCCTTCTTGGGCCTCCTGGGAGGCTCTGGTCGCCACCAGAGGATTTGCCTCGAAATTCTGGTCAGGACGCACCCATGTAGAGGTCTGGGGAGTAGCGGTATCGTTACCTTCTCGGTCTCCCAGAGTTGGGGGTGCTAGCATTGTATTCACGTCGCTACGGAGGCAGCGAGGATCCAAGCGTGAAGATCGCCCAAGAGAAACTCCACCGATGCAACTGCACCCAACATTTCCACTGGCAACTGTATTCGACTGACTGTATTATGTGTGTTGCGCAAGCTGGTCCGCGCTCATTCCGGTACACATCTCACACGTTTCGTGACCTCACAGGACGCTCCACGTATGGCCCAAGAGGGGGTGTTGCGCATGCTGCCCCACGCTCATTTCGGTACACCCATCACACGTTTGGTGCCCCCATCGGGAGCTCCGCTTGCGGCCGCCCCAGTTGGGGTGGCGCGCATGCTGACCCACGCACATGTCGGCAGACCCTCACACGCTTCGGGGCCCCACAGGGAGGAAGGAGCGCGCCGAGAAATCCACACGGAGTTGCAAAAGTTTATGCTCATGCCGTTTTTGTCTGCGTCTCCTTCTTCTTCTTCTTCTATTACCATGGGTAGAAAGTGGGAGAAGGAAGGATGAGGAGGTCCTCCTCCTCCTCCTCCTCCTCTGCCTCCTCCTCCTCTGCCTCCTCCTCCTCTGCCTCCTCCTCCTCCTCTGCGCCTTTCTGGCTTGCTTGCGGCCCGTCGGTTTCGGTCGGTGTCGGTCTCGCTGCCGGTGTTCGGTCGGTCTGCGGCTGTGCGGTCGCCGTGGACGGCCTCGAGACTGGGACGGCGGGAGTGCGCAGCCAGACTCGGATAGCCCCACGACGAGCGTTGCATGCGGTTGGTTCGCGTTGTGTCGGCTGGCGGCGACCCCTCCGCCGGCGTTCAACGTTGAACGCCGTCGGCGACCCAGAGTCCGTCGATGTTGAACAATCTGAAAGTTCGAAAATGGCCGATCGTTGAAGGTGGAACGATCCCCGCGGTGTCGGAAACCAACGTCAGGGTCGACACGACACGAACCTGCGGTATGGGCCTGGAGAGGGAACCAAAGCAGGAGGGAAAAGTGGATAGGGAGGCTGAGAGGAGGAAGGGACCTTGATACCGTTACCCGTCCGTCGTCTTCACGGCTGGATTCGCCTCGAGATGATCGTCATAATGCATTTTGGAGGAGGTTCAGGGAGCAGCGGTATTGTTGCCTGTTTGCTCCTCCGAAAAGTTGTTGGGGAGGTGGCGGAAGGGTAGGCTTGTGAGGAGGAGGCGGAGGCGGACAAGGAGGGGGAAGGAGGTGGGAGGGAGACGGGGAGAAGATGATGGGGGCCAGAAGAGTGGGTGGGCCGCAGCTCGAGCTCGTGGGAGCTGTTGCTGCTCATCCTCCTCGTCTGGGCCCTCTTCATACTACCCCTCTTCCTCCAACTACCCCTCCTTTTTGCCCTTCCTCCTGCCGCCTCCTCCTCCTCCTCCTCCTCCTCCTCCTTCTCCCACTGCCACTCCCTGTCATCCTGCTCTTGCAACAAAAGCGCCCCACCCGCCCTCGTCCTTCAGATCAAGATCTCGAAGGTGGAGCGCGACAAGCTCACAACCGACAGCAAACAGCTGGAGACGAGGCCTCTGCAGGGGTGCCGCGGAGGAGGCTCAGGAGGAAGGGATGAGGAGGAGAGGGAAGCGGAGGGGCGGAGTGGGATGCACGGAGCATGGGGGAGGCGGAGAAGGCGAAGGAGGAGGAGGAGTAGGCGAAGGCGGAGTATGAGGATGAGGAGGCGGAGGATGAGGAGGCGGAGACGGAGGCGGAGGCGGAGGAGGAGGAGGACGAAGCCGGAGTATGAGGAGGCGGAGGCGGAGGCGAAGAAGGAGGAGGCGGAGGAGGAGGAGGAGGAGAAAAAGGAGGAGGCGAAAGATGCGAATAAGCATGAGAGGGCGAGTCCCTCCGCAGCGCCGCCGTGCTGGCCGATTGTGATGTGGCGCGCGCCAGCCTTGTTCTTGGGGATGGCCTGGAAAGGGACGAGGCGAGGAGGAGCATGGCATTGGGGGCGGCCAAGAGGGGGGTGATGACTAGGGGGCTGTAAATCATGGCGCCTTTTCTTATTTCATTACGTCCCTGGCCCCCCTTTGGCCGCGCACATGCCGCCGGCCATGATTTGCACCCCTCCCTCTTGGACACCCCCCTCTTGGCCGCCCCCGATGGCAAGCTGGATCATGTGGGAGGGGGAGGTGCAGTCAGACAGGATCATAGGGATCTGGGCCTCCCTGACGGGGTCCGAGTCGATGGGGTCGAAGGATCGCTCCGCATCGCCGATGCATCGGCGATGCGGCGCGATGTGGACCCCGATTTTCTCCACGTCGGCGTCGCCGATGCATCGGCGATGCATCGGCGATGCGGCGTGAACCCCCCGACCCTATCTACTCGGACCCCATTTGGGAGGCCTCTAACAGACGAGTAGGTTCTTCCCAGGGCACCCTTTCAGCCTTTCATCTTCGGCCCGTCCTAAGCCATTATCGCCGGCCAGTGTCGTTCCAGAGGCGTCCACTGGGGCGTCCAGGGTCCCTGCGCTGCTGCCGCGCATCCCCGTGGCCGTGCCGCGCTGCTCGGCATCGCTCGGGCGCGTGCCTCTTTTTGTTCGGCGGGGACCATCGAGGAGCATCTGGGATCATCTCGCGAAAAAATGCACGCGCGACATCGAGCACATGCAGGGGGAGGTCGGCCACGCGCAGAGAGGGGGATAGGGGGGGAGTGGACGGCTTCTCAGAAGCGCCCCCGCTTCTTAGAAGGCGCGGGCCTTCTCTGTAGATGTAAGGCCCGCGCCTTCCAAGAGACAGCTTCCTCAGAGGCCTTCCCCCCTCACCCCCCTACCCCCTTGAACGCGCCGCCAAATTGAGAGTGGGCCAGCGGCCGCAACCCCGGGGAGGGGGGGGCCGAAGCCAGGAGTGGAAGCAACACGCAGACACCCAAGAGTCGTCGATCGAAGGCGATAAAGCGGCATGAGCAATGCCTTCGGCGCTCTGCGCGGATTTCTTGGATCTGCGCTGGGCCCCCCTGGCAGCGCCTCTGGAGCCGCCCCTGGCGCGCCCCGCGCGCCAGGGAGGGAGAGTCCAGCGCAGATCCAAGACATCCGCGCGGAGCGCGGAAAGTTCCCTACCCAGGCTCTGCCTAGAGGGTTCTTACCGTGTGTGCTTAAGGGGCCGGGCAGTGGACCCCTCCCCGGGCGGTTCCCCCGGCATCCGCTCCGCGGTTCCCCCAGTGACGTCCCCTTAGCTTAGCGTTGCTTGTCTCATCTTAGCTTAGCTTATTCCCTACCTAGGCTCTGCCTAGACGGTTCTTACTTTGTTTGCTTAAAGGGGCCGGGCAGTGTAGGCCGCCCCGGGCGGTTCCCCCAGTCCCCGCCCCGCGGTTCCCCCAGTTGTGCCCCCCTGGGTTCCCCTAGTTTAGCTTAGCTTAGCTTACCTTAGCTTAGCTTAGCTCAGCTTAGCTTAGCTTAGCTTAGCATAGCTGAGCGTAGCCTAGCTTAACTTAGCAAAGCTTAGCTTATCTCATCTTAGCTTAGCTTAGCTTAGCTTTGCTTAGCTTAGCTTAGCTTGGCTTAGCTTAGCTTAGCCTAGCCTAGCTTAGCTTAGCTTATCTTAGCTTAGGTTAATCTAGCTTGGCTTACCTTAGTTTAGCTTAGCGCAGCGCAGCATAGCGCAGCGCAGCATTAGCACATCATATCATTTCATAGTATAACCAAGCATATCATAGCATAGCATATCATAACTCATCATGGCATAGCATATCACAGCATAGCATATCATAGCATAGCGCAGCACAGCGCAGCACAGCGCAGCATAGCATAGCATAGCATAGCACAGCATAGCATAGCATAGCATAGATGCAGGTGTAGATGTACATGTAGCTGTCGGTGTAGATGTAGATGTTGCTTTCCTAAATGCTCAAACTCCTAGGTAGGGTCGCACTGGGATAATTTATATGTATGCCATTTTGTGGTTCCAAGAAAAAATTGGGAACTACGGGAAGCGGAGGGGAAGACGAACATCCAGGATACATGGAATCTATTGGGAATCCTGGGACTCGTGGGGGATCGATGGGGAATCCTGGAGACTCTGTGGGAAATCCTGGGGACTATGGGTGATCCTGGGACTCGTGACCACCTGTTTGCGTGTGCCTCCCTGGGCCCCTGCACGAAGGGCCGCGAGCGACGGCGACGGGGAGGGCCAGGGTCGAGGAGGCGCAGGCGTGGACTGAGTCGGAGGTTGACAGACATCCTACCCTGGCACGTCGATTAGCGAATTGGCCGCTTTCGGTTGGCGAGAGGGCGTCGCGGCCGTCATCTTTGCGGGTCCAGGTCCGTCTTTATACTGGTACCAGGCTGGTTTCACTAAAGGGAGGTTTATTAAAGCAACGTGGATTGAGGCAGCGTGGGTTGTAGACTTCGGTCGGGCGTGCCCCCCTACAGGCGGATTTTGTGACGAAAAAATAACATATACAAGCAAGACCCCAAGATGATCAACAAATGCTCAAAAATTCGTCCCCAGACTATTCTCTGACTATTTTTGAACACTCCTCCTGTAGAGGGACAGGCCCGACTTATATCTGGCGCGCGGGCGCCAGATCAATATCATAGAGCGGGGGAGCCCCCCCCCGAAAAATGAGGCCGCTGCCGCCACATGTGGCGAGGGTCAATGGACACAGGGCCCCACTTCCATAGCTCGAGGGAGGAAAACCAGCCCGGACCAGACAGTTGGCGTTTCCCAAACGGCCCTGTGGCGTTCCATGAGCAGCCCTGCCCCGTTCGATTTCTCTTCCGTGGGAGCGCTTCGTAGGCAGCTCCGCGTGTCGGGGTGTTTATTTTTTATGAGGGTGGATGTATGGCCCTCTGGTGTATACCTTTTCCTGTGTAAGCTCTTCAGCACCGCCTGCACCCCGCGCCCTCCGGCCGCCTGAGGCCCCGCCCGCCCGCGCCCTGTCTCCCCAATTAGTGCTGTGCGCGGCCCGCCTAGCTCTTGACCGGAAGAGGCTCGCTCTCGACCCGCAGACCAAAACAAGTATGGCCCTCTGACGACGGCAGCGACGCGCTCCGTCGCCAGGTGTGGCGGCCGTGGCCTCATTTTTTCGAGGGGTGGGGCTCCCCCCGCTCCATGGATCGGGCGCCCGCGCGCCAGGTCCACGAGTTCCCAGTCCAGGTTCGCGTCAAGTCGGGCCTGTCGCTCTCCAGTGGGAATGTCCGAGCCTGGACAAAACAGACAGTCTGGGGACGATGCTTGGACTACTTTTTGAAAATGTTTGGAGTATTTTTGGAGTATGCTTGTATTTTTGGTCCAAAATCCGCCTGTGGGGGGACATGCCCGACCCACCGCCAGATCCACGAATCTCTAGTCCAGGTTAGCGTGTGCCCGACCAGAGGACGATGAGGAGGAGGTGGAGACGGAGGAGGCTTCGGAACAACGTCTCCAGAAGCACCTCCGCCTTGATCCTTCGTCCTCCCCTCCTCCGCCTCCCCCCCACCTGCAAAGCGCATGGCGCCAGCCCGTCGTCGTCGTCATCGTCGTCGTCGTTGTCAGCTTCGTTGCCAGCTCCGTTGTCAGCTCCGTCGTCGTCGTCGCCGTCGCCGTCGTCTGCCTCGTCCCCGAGCTCGTCCTCGTCCTCGTGTGTCCTCGTTTTGGACAGGATGGAGGGTCTGGGATCGGGCGTCTGTGCTGTCTGTGCTCTTGGGCTCGGAGGGGAGGACGGCCAGGTGAGCCAGCAGCGGTTCTCCCGCCCAGCTCACCATCGGTCCCCGGACCCCTCGCAGGCCCAGACATCCGACGTCTCGATTTTTTCGAGACACGGGCCCCCGACCTCCCGACCACTTCCCCGGGGCCGTTTTTTTCATTCTGGGTCGTTTTTTGATGGTCCCGAGGCCCGGCGAGGGCCCTGAGAGGCCGAAAACGAAGAAGAAACCTCCGTCTCGATTTTTTCAAGACGCCCGATGTCTGGGGGGGTCCCGTGCCTCGAGGCAGGTCTCGGCCGTGGCGCAGAGGCCTCCGCGGGAGGCCCCCGCAGCACGAGCGAAGCGCCAGCTAGGGAGGGCCGCCGTGGTCTGGTCGAAGCTCTTGGCCGGAGCGCAGCCCTGGGAGCGGCGTGGCGGGCATGCCGCCGCAGGTGCGCTGAGCGTTGCCGCGGCGGAGCGGAGGGGAGGAGGGAGCGGAGGGGGAGGAGGTGGCCCGACGTTTCGAGCGCCTGCTCCAATGGCCTGAGGAGGAGGAGGAGGAGGAGGAGGAGGAGGAGGAGGAGGAGCAGGAGTGATGAGTCAAGCTAGCCAGCTCGAGCGAGTCAAGCATGGCATGCCCAGTCCCACCCGCCCTCCCACAACATAAGAAGCAAAGCTGGCACAACTGGGGGCCGAAGTCACACCGGCCAGCCGGTTTGGTACAGCTGATGCGGCCGCGATGGCGGTTGCCGACGGGAACTGGCGAGCGCGTGTTGAATGCCGCGCACGCATTGCCAGACGAGTCGAGAATGGCCCGGTACACCGCAGGAAGCCAGAGGTGGCCGGAGGAAGCCCGACGGTCTGACAGGACACCCCAAAGCATTTTGTGAAAAAGCATCGGGTTTTTGATGTTTTTTTGTTGAAATGCTTGCAAACACACGGTGTTCGGTAGGATTC